AGGGTTTCAAGTTTAAAAGCTTGGCCTTAGCCTTGAGCTTCAACTCAGCCCAACAAAGGGCTTCAAAATTATTAGCTCAGCCTCGGCCTTGAGCTCAGCCCAACGAAAGGCTTCAAGTTTAAAAGCTCGGCCTTAGTCTTGAGCTCCAACTCAGCCCAGTGAAGGGCTTTAAAATTAAAAGCTCGGCCTCAGCCTTGAGCTTTAACTCAGCCCAACAAAGGGCTTCAAGTTTAAAAGCTTGGCCTCAGTCTTGAGCTTCAACTCAGCCCAACAAAAGGCTTCAAAATTATCAACTCGGCCTCGGCCTTGAGCTCAACCCAACAAAGGGCTTCAAGTTTAAAAGCTCGGCCTCAGCCTTGAGCTTCAACTCAGCCCAACAAAAAGGCTTCAAAATTATCAGCTCGGCCTCGGCCTTGAGCTCAGCCCCACGAAGGGCTTCAAGTTTAAAAGCTCGGCCTCAGCCTTGAGCTTCAACTCAGCCCAACAAAGGGCTTCAGAATTATTAGCTCGGCCTCGGCCTTGAGCTCAGCCCAATAAAGGGCTTCAATTTTAAAAGCTCGGCCTCGGTCTGGAGCTTAGACTCAGCCCAACAAAGGGCTTCAAATTTATTAGCTCGGCCTCGGCCTTGAGCTCAGCCCAACGAAGGGCTTCAAGTTTAAAAGTTCGGCCTTAGCCTTGAGCTCCACCTCAGTCTAGTGAAGGGTTTCAAATTCATTAAAAGCTCGACCTCACCCTTGAGCTTCAACTAAGCCCAACAAAGGGCTTTAAAATTATTGGCTCGGCCTCGGCATTGAGCTCAGCCCAACGAAGGGCTTTAAGCTTAAAAGCTCGGCCTTAGCCTTGAGCTCCAATTCATCCCAATGAAGGCTTCAAGATTAAAGCTCGGCCTCAGCCTTGAGCTTCAACTCAGCCTAAGCAATAGCTTTAGGCTCCAAGATCAAAATGAAGACAGAAAAGGAGAGATGTGATCTTAAGAAAAGTATCACACCCCAATCTGAGATAAAAATGAAGACGGAATTGGAAAGTTGTGATCCTAGCCAAAGGATTACACCCTGATCCGAAAAAGAAGAAGAAGAAAGATAGAATTGGAGAGATGTGATTCTACGAAAAAGGATCACACCCCAATCCGAGAAGACGAATTTGGAGAGATTGTGATCCTAGAAAAGGATCACACCCCAATTTAAGATAAAAGACAAAAGACAAATCGAGACGGTATGTGAAGCCGGGCTCAAACAAAATATGGAAAAAAGTCTAGAAAAGTCACGGTACGTTAAGTTGGGCTAAAATCAGAAAGGCAAATATACTGCCTTCAAAAGTGTAGGCAAGGCAAAAGCCAAGTCAATTTAAAGAAAGCTATGGTATAAGAAGCCGAGAGCTCAAAGTCAAAAAAAGGTAAACACTGCCTCACCACTCAGAGACTTCAAGAGAAAAGAAGCCAATATAAAAAGCTAAACCAAGAAGAGGTAGTCGCATCAGACCCAAGGCAGGATCATAGTACCTCGGTAGGGTCGACCTATCAATCAAACTTAGGCACCCCAGCAGTCCGAGCTTCCAAACTGCCGGGCTGGGGGGCAACTGTTATGGAATATTTCCATATCCTAACCACCTACCCAAGGATCCCTTAAAGGATAACTACCCAATTATCCTAACAATATAAAACAATAAGGCTGCTAAGGATAGAGTCCCTATCCCAACAGAAAGAAAGTTAAATCCTACTACAACTGAGAGATCTACACAAAGCCCAAGAGGTAACCCTTATAAATAAGAGGTTAAAGACCCCAGGTACATACTCTGAACTCATTTACTACTTCTGCCCACACTGTGCAGACACCCACGTCTCGACTATAAGCCTATTGCTTGTGCGCAGTGATGAGATATTGGTTATAAGCCAACCAAGATACCTATCCATAAGATATCTCTGAGCACATACCTTTAAGGTATCATTATACGGTTTAATAGAACCGAACAATATTAAATATTTTCATGGCGGACAAACCAATCAACCTTATACTACAAGACATACGCTGCATTTTTCCATAACTTATTTGCTGCCTTTTATTTTTGTTTCATCTCCCATTTGCATCTTCATCTTATCTTTTCGACTTTATTTATATTTATTTTACAAATTTTTCTTATTTTTTATATGATGGTAACACTTGAGGTTGAATCTATAATATCATAAAAATAATTTAAATCTTTTACTACTAGATCAATTTTAGTAGCTTGGTTTTTTTAATTTATTCTCTTTTCTTTTTTATGATAAAGATACTTTTTGGTTAATTATTACCTTATTCGAGTTTAAATTCTTCTCATTACAATTTTAAATATTCATTACATATACACTTTTTACTTTCAATTATAATCCAAAATCGAATCAGTGTAATTTATTCTTTCTGAAATGAAATGAGAGAAAACGTTTCGTTGACTAAAATGTTATTGAAATAGATATTTTTTATGGGACATGTTATATTTACAAATTTTTTTATTTACAAACTCTTATAAACTATACTAAGTACGACCGGTCATACTTTAATCATGCAGTGTACGACTAGTCGTACTTAGTATAATTTACAAAAAAATTTATAAACAGATCCTATCTCTTTTTTATTGTGGATACATAAATACGTACCTCTTTCGTATGATAACTTAGTTGGCAAAGTTGAGCGGTCAAAGGTTTGCTTTGACCAGGGTTTAACTCTAGACAAAGTAGCATCTTGGAATCTTCAGAGAAATGTTTTTTTTAAAGAGAATTAGTTTCACCTTTCTTCTAATAACAGTAATCTAATGCACTATTTATTTGAATGAGGAGTTAGTTTTATGAGGCGTGTATCGAGAACAAACTGGTTGGAAAAGGTTGAGCGAGACAATTCAAGAGTGATTATCTTAATGACAATTTAGTTAGATCTTATTATTTGATATGCTCAAAGAATAATAAATTTGAATATTGAGAGTTTTAATTTGAGAGGCTGAATAAATACAAACTCAAAACCGGATTATTCAAATCCATTAAAATTTCAAACACCCGATGGTATCTTAAAAATAAATATTAACACCCGCAGGTCATTCATAAACCGAAAAAGATGTTAACAAAATTGACTAAATAAAATGATGTAGACAACTGCTATGTGAAATGAATTTAGACAATTTCTTTCTACTCAACATCACGAAAAAGTCACTTATTAAGAGATAAAAAGACATAATTTTTATTATGAAGATACTCATTATTACTTGTATTGGAATATTTTATTTAATTACTTTTATTAACAAATCTCTCTCCTGTTGACGAAGTATTTTATGAATGTACTAAAGAGGAAATGACGATTCATTAAGAGAAAAACTATGGAAAAAGTGTGTATCATTTTAAAGTATATAAATTTGTGTTATTTTAAGTGAGAGAAAGAAATAAATCATAGAAGAGAAAGTGGAGGGAGGAAGTTTTAAAGATGTGGATCCCAACATCTTTGTGAGAGTGAAATGATATAAAGTGTGTCATTTAAAATGACATCTTTTTTCCAAAAACTATTCTCCTTTTTTATGAGATAAATTTTTTCTTCTACTGTCCTACACATCCTTCGATAATTGTGTCACATTTTTTATTTTTATTTTTTTAGGTGGTAAAACCCATAAATCTGTCTCTATGACATGAGATAACTTATATTCTTTAATATGATATTAATAAAACCCATATAACATGAGGGCATGTGTTCGAATCTCTCCAGTACCACCTTTGGGAGGGGTTTAAAGCCTTAATCCTGGACCCGCCCCGAATCGGACTAATCGCGAAGCGATGAATCGATGGAATATTTCCAAAAAAAAAAATAAAACCCATATAACTTTCTCCTTGTTATAAACTTTCTCCTTGTTATAAAATATGCAAAATCTCTATGATTTTGCGGGTAATATTTTCATATTTCAAATATAAATCGAATAATTGTTGACAATTTTTATTTCCTTTTGCTTCTTCAGATTGGCATTGATTACTCAAATTTGTAGTAGGTAAGATTTGGTAAGATTTTTATCTTTTCAAAACAAATCTAAAATTATGAAAAATTGAGAATATCAAACAATACTAAAACCAATTATAAATTACATATTATTCTACTTGATATGACTCTATGTTATTGAAATTTGGATAAAAAATACTATAGAATGGTTACAGATGCAATTAGAAAAAATATCATACAGATAAAATGTCACTTTTTAAGCCACATAAAGATAAAGTGATTTAGAGTCAAATTACAGAGAACAAACTGTAACTTACTCAAAAAAAAATAAAAATAGTCTTTATATTTCATGAAATTTTTTGTTGAAGAGAACAATACTTGTTTGTTCTCATTGTTACCCAATGACAACATATTATTATCTTTATAATAAATTAATTAAAGTTTGAAAAATCCTTTTTTTTTTCTTTGTTTTTGTATTGTGATAAAGTGATATCTTAGTCAAAATTTCAATATTTCACGTGTTTGTTCATAAACTATGTACTTGTGTACTATTTAACACATGATTATATTTATCTTATTTTACATAAGAGAAGTTAAATTTTTACGCACAAAATAAAGATGGATTTCATCTTTATTTTCTTTTCTCTCATTTTACTTATGAGTTTCGCTTGTAATATTGTCTTTGCTATAAGATAATTCTTCTCACGTAGCCTTAAACAAATCTCTTAAACTTATAAAGTTTGCAAAAACTTCCACTTGATCAAATGACATATTAATTTAGGGTTTTATTATTCTTCTTTTACATAAGGTAGTTATCTTATGTTGTAGAGAGAAAATGAATGATTCCACCATTGTATAAAAAAAGAAAAAGAAAAAAAAAGGTGAGATGCAAAAATCGAAATGAAATAACACGAGAAAAGTTATCTTACTTGGAATAATATTTTCATTAATTAATTCTTAATAATTAATTAATTCATTGTTATTTATTTATTTGTACATATTCATTGTTATTTTTATTTTGTGCTCTCTTCGTTTTTGAAAGAGGTAGCGGCAATTCATATATAGAGAGAGAGAGAGAGAGAGAGAGAGAGAGAGAGAGAGAGAGAGAATAAGAGAGATTGGTGTGAAGAAGATAATAACCTCTGCTCACAAGAAAACGCAACTCTTATGTAAGATTTAGTCTTCGCTACCCTTCATCTTCTTCTTCTCTCTATGTTCCTCTCACTTTGACTTTTAATTTGGGTGAGTTTCAGTTTTGAATTTGAGGAGAGTGCTCATGGATTGGACTTGGTGACCTAAACTTTTTCGCTTCAACTTATTCTCTTGCTTTGGTTCATTTCCAACACCACCAGGTACTCAATCTATCGACCCCATTTTTTTATTTTATTTTTTTAAATTTTGCTATATAGTTAATTAATCAGCACTGTTTGATTTGGATTTTCTTTTTTATTATTTTTTTTATGTATGTGGATTTTTTTTTTAAAATTTTTTAAAATTAAAAAAAAATCTGGGTTGGGTTCTGTTTCATTTGAATTAACGTTAATTTACTTTTATTTGTTTATTCTTTTATTTTTCTTGGCAAAAGACGATGATGTCGAAAATGGAAGCTGGTAAGAAGGGTGGTGGTGGTTCTAGTAGCCAGAAGTTGTTAAAAGATGTTGTAACTTTAAACAAAGCTATGTACTTGGACAGAAGCTCTTCAAAGAATTCAATGTCTAGTGCAAATTCTCGGTCTAAATCCACTGGGAAACCCCAGTTACCTGATCCCAAGTCAAGGACTAAAGTCAGTAATAATAATAATGATGATGGTAATTCACAGAAGGATAAGAAATCCATATGGAATTGGAGGCCACTAAAGGTCCTTTCCCACATCCGCAATAAGAGGTTCAATTGTAGTTTTTATCTGCAAGTCCATTTGATTGAAGGGTTACCTTCCACTTTTGATGATTCTAGCCTTGCTGTGTACTGGAAGAGGCGTGACGGGGTTCGGGTGACCCGTCCGGCCAAGGTGATTCAGTGTGTGGCTGAATTTGAAGAGAAGTTGACTTACACTTGCTCAGTCTATGGAAGTAGGAGTGGACCTCACCATTCTGCAAAGTATGAAGCAAAGCATTTTTTGCTCTATGCTTCTCTTCTCAGTGCGCCGGAACTTGATTTGGGGAAGCACCGGGTAGATCTCACGAGGTTGCTTCCTCTCACTTTGGAGGAGCTTGAGGAGGAGGAGAAGAGCTCAGGGGAGTGGACCACTAGTTTTAGATTATCAGGAATGGCTAAGGGTGCTGTGATGAATGTCAGTTTTGGGTATATGGTGGTTGGTGATAGCACTAGTGCTACCAGAGACAGCCATAATGCTCCTAATGTATTGACTTCAAGGCAGAATAGTCTCGCTTTGATGAAACCAGATGTTAAACCTAGACAGTTTGATGGAAGCAGCAGCATGAGGCGTGCTGGAAGTTTGCAAACCTTTACAAGTCAGTACTCATCTCGAGCTGCAGGTGACGTAAAGGATCTTCATGTATTGCCATCATCTAAGTCAGCACTAGCCAGCTCAATAGACTTCTTGAATAAGAAATTTGATGAAGAAAAGGCATGTAGTCCTCCGCCCAATGAACCTGAACCTGATTTGCTTACTGAAAATCTTGAGTTGATCAAGCCAGATGCCTATGATTTGTCTGATCTTGGAAAAGGAAAGCCTGAAGAGCATGTGGGTAATGATGGAAGTACATGTTCAGTGCTTGACAAACCTGAACTCGATGTATTTCAAGAAAACCTGCAGACAGTTAAACCAGATTGCTATCCTTTACTTGATTCTGGAAAAGAAAACCCTGAAGAGTGTCAAGATAATGAATTTTTTGTTGTTGATAAGGGCATAGAATTGTCACCAAATGAACCTGTTGAACTAGAGGAATCCATCATGAAGGTTCCTGAGGATGCTTCTACAGTTGATAGTACCTGTACCCTTGATACTGCTGGTATACACGTATCTTCTGCTGATAGTGTTAAGCATGATTCCCTGGATGAGGAAAAGGATAGTTCTAAGGATCAGGCAGTTGTAGATGAATTTGCTTGCAAAGATCATGGCTTATACACAGATGAACTGCTCCTGCAAGAATTAGAGTCGGCTTTAAATAGTGTCTCAGATATAGAGACAGTGGCACTAGAATCTCCTAAACTTACGGAAGCCAAATCTGAATATAAGATGAAAAAGTCACATAGCCTGGATGATGTTACAGAATCAGTTGCCAGTGAATTTTTAAGCATGCTAGACATAGACCATAGTCCAATGGGTTTGAGTTCTGAATGTGAGCCTGAGTCTCCAAGAGAGCTCCTTTTAAGACAATTTGAGAAGGAGGCTCTGGATGGGGGCTTCTCTTTATTTGATTTTGACATGGAGTGTGATAATGAAGCAGATGATGACTATGATGCTCCAACTGGATCTGAGCAGTGGAACTTCTCTGAAGGTATTAAGTCGTCATCCGTGTTCCAAGATCTGCAGGAGGATCATGTAGTTGAATCTCAGGACATGAGGAGCAAACAGAGGGCTCAGATGCTAGAAGACTTGGAAACAGAAACCTTAATGCGTGAATGGGGTTTGAATGAGAAGGCTTTTCATCATTCTCCACCAGAAGAATGTGCTGGTTTTGGAAGTCCAATTCATTTACAACCTGAAGAGCCCTCCACATTGCCTCCTCTTGCGGAGGGGTTGGGTCCTTTTCTTCAGACAAAAGATGGGGGTTTTCTACGGTCTATGAATCCCTCACTTTTCAGGAATACTAGAAGTGGTGGGAGTTTAATCATGCAGGTTTCCAACCCTGTTGTTGTACCTGCAGAAATGGGTTCTGGGATAATGGAGATTCTGCAGTGTTTGGCTTCAGTTGGAATCGAAAAGCTCTCAATTCAGGCAAAGGAGTTAATGCCTCTGGAAGATGTCACAGGGAAGACAATGCAACAAATAGCATGGGAAGCTATGCCTGTCTTAGAGGGAACAGAGAGGTTAGTCTATCCTGTTTGTATCCCTGGTCTTGGAGTTTTTTAGTAGCCATTCCTTAAATGTTTTACTGATTGAATATTGCTTTGCTTTATGTAGGCAATGCCATTTGCAGCATGATTTGACAACAGGGCAAGATACTACTAGTGTGCAAATGGACTTGAAAGGAACACCATCTGGGCTAAAATCTGATAAATTCAGTTCAAGTTCAAGTTCAGTTGCCAACCAGACAGGCTCAGAGTTTGTTTCATTGGAAGATCTTGCTCCATTGGCTATGAATAAAATTGAAGCACTTTCAATGGAGGGTTTGAGAATACAATCAGGGATGTCAGAGGAGGATGCACCATCAAACATCATTGCGCAGTCCATCGGGGATATTTCAGCTCTCCAGGGAAAGGGAATTGATATTAGTGGGTCCCTTGGCCTGGAAGGTGCTGCTGGTTTGCAGTTGTTGGATGTAAAAGACAGTAGTGATGGTGTTGATGGGATAATGAGCCTTTCATTAACTCTTGATGAATGGATGAGGTTAGATTCTGGTGAGATTGATGACATAGATAATATCAGTGAGCATACTTCCAAACTTCTTTCAGCCCATCATGCTAACTCTTTTGACTTTATGCGTGGGAGTTCAAAGGGAGAGAGGAGACGAGGTAAAGGCTTTGGCAGAAAATGTGGTTTGCTAGGAAACAATTTCACGGTAGCATTAATGGTGCAACTTCGCGATCCTCTGAGAAACTATGAGCCAGTTGGAACACCAATGCTTTCTCTTATACAAGTTGAGCGAGTGTTTGTCCCACCAAAGCAAAAAATTTACAGTGGTGTGTCTGAGTTAAGGAACAACAACAATGACGAGGATGATGAGCGCGAAAAAGCAGTGAAGGTGGAGATGAAGGACCCGGAGAAAGAGGAGAAAAGTTCTGAAGAGGAGAGCATTCCTCAGTTCAGAATTACTGAAGTTCATGTGGCAGGTCTGAGGACTGAGCCTGAGCCTAACAAAAAGAAGCTTTGGGGCACTTCAAGCCAGCAACAGTCTGGTTCACGCTGGTTGCTTGCTAGTGGAATGGGGAAGAGTAATAAGCATTCATTAATGAAGTCAAAAGCTGCATCTAAATCTAGTGCTCCAGTTACCACAAAGGTGCAGCCTGGTGACACCTTGTGGAGCATATCATCTCGTATTTATGGTACTGGATCAAAATGGAAGGAATTATCAGCACTAAATCCACATATAAGAAACCCCAATGTCATTATAGCAAATGACACTATAAGACTTAGTTGAGTGGAGTACAGAATTCAGATTTTCCTTGAAGAAGACTTATCTTGTTATCAGGCAATGCTTCTTTGGAGTTGTTAATATAATTGAACCATCTGATTCCAAACTCATCTTTGCTATGGAACCTGTGCTGGGGGATCCTTTGGTTTTGTCAGAGCATCAATCAATTTGGACCGACCCTTTAATAATTGCTATGTATGAGATATGGAGAAAACAAGATGGATTTTATTGAAAAAAAGGGGTGGATTTTGCTGGATGCACGTTTTACTTTTGTAAAGTCCCTTGTAACTTATGCATGCATCTATTGTATTTTGGTCCTCTTGAAGTAGTGTTTGTATATTACATCGGGGTAAATAATATTGAAGTCCATGAATAGGTGGAGTATTATTGCAGAAAATGTTAATTTTATTGCAGTTGCAAATCAATGTTTACTGGCTTCTGTTTATTTTGATTGTATTGTGTTCTCGTTATTGTATTCTTGCACCCTTTTTTTTCCTTCATGATTCATCCTCCTAAAAGCAGTAACCCTACCTGAACCTTCCACTCTCCCTCTATTTATTTCTTGGATAAAGCTACTATAATGTAACATAATCTAACTAATTTTTCCTACTCAAACAAAGATGCACGTGGGTTCCAAACAGAAAATAAAAAATGCTGGTGCGGAAACCAATGGTTGAGTGGGTAAAATTTTTTATATCATGTTACGTAATATTAGTTTTCTCCTTATTTCTTTCTCTGTAATTTGCGTTTTACTTACCATTTTTTACCTATTTGGTTTTGGTCATTTGGCAACACAGGTATATATTTGTAAATATTTTCTTTACTCATTAAAAGAGTAAAGACAAGTTTGTTTCCCTTATTTACTTTATTTTTATTCTTGTCAATGTTTAAAAACTCAGCTCGGGGCCATCGGCTGAGGTCAGGGGTTACAAGATCACAGAGTAAAGACAAGTTTGTTTCCCTTATTTACTTTATTTTTATTCTTGTCAATGTTTAAAAACTCAGCTCGGGGCCATCGGCTGAGGTCAAGGGTTACAGGATCACTTCGCTGATCTGATTTTATATATTAAAATAAGGCTTTAATATTTCTACAGTGAATGTAGATAAGTTATTTACATTCACTGTCAAAATGACATCGTTTTGGGTTGAAAAATTAAAAAATTATAATGAAAAAGACTATTATAACCCTAAAATAAATTATAATTACAAAAATATCTTGATTTCTGCTTCAAAACGACGTCATTTTGGACTCAATGTAGATAAGTTATCTACATTGACTGTAGAAAAAGCGAACCCTTAAAATAAATAAATATATATTCTATATGAAAAATTCAAAAAAATCAAATCACCAATCATCAAAATTCAAGATAACTTAACATAATTCAATCAATTACATCCATAAGTTAATATTACACAAACTTATGAAAATATTAAAGTATAAAACACATATTTAGTTTAAAAACTCATGTGGATTGATGCATGTGCCTTGGATGTCAATGTAATAATTAATAAGGAAAAGTTTAAAAACTCACGTAGTTTATGTTAGAATCACTTATCCTCTTTTTTTTTTTTTTTTTTTATCATTTATCCCTGGTGTGACTTTTTCATCAAAGTTCCCATTTAATACCATTAAAATTTTAGCAAATATATCTATTTTCCCCTTGAGGGTAAGTAATTGAAAATAAAAGCACATGGGAAAATGATTATAGAGGAAATTATAAGAGGGTACTTTGACACACATATTAAAGATACTGTCGAATATTACCAAAAAAAAAAAAAAGATACTGTCGAAAGTAGAGTAAAATGATAATATCGCCAGAATTATTATACTATTCTAAGTTATATAAACACTTACTAAACATAACAAATAAGGACTCAAAGGCCAAAGATATTCGATGCATTTCAACATTATCCAATAAAATAAAAAATAAAATAAAAGGTGGGCTCGTTCCAATACGGAGGAATATGAAGTTTTTAACTAATCATCAATCTACATAACAAAAATTGACCTTCATACAAATAAAAGTTTGAAAAAGAAACATTAGTTCTAAATATAACTAGGAAACATTAAGTGTTAGAGTTTGTGTTATAACTCTACTTTTACTGTACAAAGTAACGCCATATATAATATGATGTGAATATTACAAAAGGTGAAAAATAGAAGACTTATCTACAATTTGAATTTGAAATACAAACAATCATAATCTTATCATAACAACCATAATAATTACAGCTTCATCACATGACTCCGCGCATAATCCAATTATACAGCCTCATTAATTACAGCTTCATCATATGACTCAGCGCATAATCCTACCGCCTCATCATATCCTTATAACTGATGACTCGGCGACAACCTGTTTTGAATTTGATCTTATCTTTATCACTTTCCCTCAAGTTGGAGCATGTAAATTTGAAATGCCCAACTTGATGACTAATGAAAGAAATGGTCCCTTGCCCAAAACTTTAGTAAAAATAGCTGCCAACTGCATGTGGGAGCGAACATACGAGGTTGAGATGGTTTGCGTTTGGAGATGTTCACATACAAAATGGCAATCCAACTCAATATGTATAGTGCTTTCGTGGAATACGGGATTGACTGCTATATGAAGAGAGCTTGATTATCATAATAAAGGGACATGGGGTTGTTTTGAGTTACCCTTAAGGAAGCAAGGAAACTTTTTAACCAAACAAGCTCAGCGGGTACAGTTGTCATGGACCTATATTCAGCTTTAGCAGATGACCTTAAAACTATGACTTGCTTCTTTTTCTTTCCATGAAATAGGCTATACAAAGAAATCAGTGATGGATCTTCAGGTAATGGGGCAACTAGCCTAATCAGAGTCACAATAAGCTTTGACATGAACTGGACTTCATGTCATGAAAAGTTGCTAACCTGGATTCTATTTCACATAACGAAGTACTCTCATGACAGCATCAAAATGTTGTTGTTGTGGGTTCTACATGAACTGTGACAGAGTATGGATTGCATAGCTCAAGTCAAGCCCGATGATGATCAAATAAACTAGTTACCAATGAGTCTTTGATATCTGGCTGGGTCACTATAAGCTGGACCTTCGGCTAAGGCAAGCTGGTGATGAGGTTCCACATGCGAAGAAGTTGGTTTACACCCTAGAAGACCAGCTTCAAGCAATATTTCCATTGCATACTTACGCTGACAAATAAATATGCCAGTATCGTTGCGAGCTATCTCAAGACCTAAGAAAAATTTTAAAGGGCCCAAATCCTTAATTTTAAACACTGAGTTAAGATACTCTTTGACTTCCTTGCAAGCAGTAGAACTATTATTGGCGAGAACCAAATCATCAACATAAATTAATAAAGCAAGAAACACTTACCCACGCTGTAATGCGAACAACGTGTAGTTAGCCTTTGATTAGACGAAGTCATAGGATACCAAGGATGAGCTGAGTTTTGAGAACCAGTTCCTAGGAGATTGTTTTAATCTATACAATGACTTTTGAAGACGACAAATTTTGTGTTGGGAGCTTGAGGAAAAACTAGGAAGCAATCGCGTATACACCTCCTCAGAAAGATCCCCGTACAAGAATGCATTATGGACATTCATTTGATGCAACTCCCATTTCTTAATCGTACCACAACAAGTAGAGTACAAACGCTGACCATCTTTGCCACTGGAGCGAACGTCTCATTAAAATCTTGCCTCGCTATTTGATTGTTGCCTGTAAAACACATTCACCATTAGCAAATATTATTTGTTTTATTCCTATTCAAAGCAATTGTGCAACTGACACAATGTTACACTTGAGGTTCGGCACATATAATACATCTGTCACATGAAAACTTGGTTCAAAAGACACTGTTTCTCGCTTAACTGCATGAGTCACATCACTGTTTGGAAGTCCGACAATTATAGGAAAAATATTTTGAACACCTACTGGTGGCCACTAGTTCGTGCAGTGGCATATTTATCTCCACCATCACCTCCTTTTTCACATTCCTTACCACCCCCTTTAATTAGGTATCCATGGAGATCCCAACATCTTGACACATCATGGTTTGACTTACCACAATGGGTGTATGGTGTGCGATCACCCTTGCCACAATGGAAAGCTGAACTTGGAATACTAACCTTTATCTTACTAGAGCATTCCTTGGCCATTGATTATTAAGAGAGTGCAACTTGCACTTAATAAGTACTGGCGGAAGCTATACGGATCGAATGCTCTGATACTATAATAGAAATGGTATTTGCTATTTCTACTTTCACTGTACAAAGGAATGCCATATATAGAAATGAATATTACAAAAGGTAAAAGATAGAAGACTTATCTATAATTTGAATTTGAAATACAAACAATCATAATCATATCATAATAGCGACATTAATTATAGCTTCATTAGATGACTCAGCGCATAATCCTATCAGAACAATCTCATTAATTACAGTTTCATTAGATGATTCAGCGCATAATCCTATAGCCTCATCATATCCTTGTAACTGATGACTCATGCGACAACCTATTTTGAATTTGATCTCATCTTTATCATGTTAAAAAAGTTCAATAATTGTTATAAAAAAAAAAAAAAAGTTCAATAATTAAATGGATCTGCCGATGCTAATGAAGTTTGTGTAGACGCATTTGATAGACTTTCATTAGGCGTCGAAGAAATAACACTTTATTTCCCTTTCTTATAGCATCTATTAATGCAAAGATACCATAGTTATAACATATAGTTAACAACGTTAAATTAAAAAGGGTTTTATAATTCTCATGTAACATGAAAAGAAAATTTTTCCTACGCACCATTCGATTTTCGTGCTGACATGGGTCTCACACATGGCTTTCTCTAACATATGGGTCTCACATTGCTTTTTGTCTCTATGGTATAAGAATTCTCTTCTCATGTAATATGAGAATTATAAAACCCAATTAAAAAACATAAAACAAAGGGGTTAATGTTTCTCATGTTGTAATAGATAATTTTATCTCCTACATACACATAAAAGTGTGTGGGGCCCATGAGAAGAAATATTATGAGAAAATATGGGCCCTATACACTTTTATGTGTGTGTAGGAGATAAACAACATGAGAAACAATAAACACTAAAACAAATTATATAGAAATCAATTACCTTTTGACTTGTGGTATACATACTCGTTGGAGAAGGTTGAGCTATTTGTTGTGCTTGCTGTCTTCGAAGTCGAGCTATCCTTTGGGCTGGTGTTTCTCCAATGGCATATGTCTTATAGTTTCGAATGTTATGTCTCTCCGCACCACAATTTTTACATTAGATAGGTTTGTTTATTCTCGTTACTTTATAAGGGTTTTGAGGCTCATCAAGATGCTTGCTCCTCATCTTTCTAGGCCTACTAGGTAGCTTCTTGATCACAGGAGCAATAACAATCGAACCACTGCTAGC